GTGTGTGTGTGTGTGTGTGTGTGTGTGTGTGTGTGTGTGTGCTATTCTCTGAGGCATCCACGGTGGGATTCCAATCTTTCTATCTAACATCGGCTGCCTATGTGCTTGACAGTACATGTTTTTATTTGTTGATAAAACTGAACTGATTATATAATATATATGCGTGTGACTGGTTCGCAGTGTTCTCAACTTCTCATTCTTATCGGTATTTTTATCTTGCCTTAATCAATCAGCTGCTTGCAAGTTTTTATTTTTACTGCGGTCATGTATGATGAACATGTAACTTTAAGAAAATGGATGGATGGATCCGAAGAATCCCAACTGAATGAAAAGGCAGAAATCTGAAATTCTGAAGTTTTATGTATCACAGTACTATCACTACTAATTCGTAATTTCGTAATCATAGTGTGCACAAGGAGATGACAACATTACAATGCCATGATTATTTTCCAAATACCCCCCCTCACCTGTGATCATGTGATACGAGATTGGCTGTGTTGACGGCAACCCACTCCTTCGCTCATGTTTACTTGCAGCTGACAGTGCTTTTTCCTGAAAACAGTTTTTTCAATCGCAATCGCAATCACAACACCAATGAATATCAAGTTATTATCAACAATGACAACAAATAAAAACATGTGTGCCGGCGATTGTTTTTCCACCAGAACTTAAAAACAAATAAAAAGTATTAAAATTTAAAAACCAACAACTTATTATTATGAAGTTGCTGACTCTTGGGCCGACCAGCTGTGAAAAAAAAAAAAAAAAAGGCCGACCAGCTGTGCTCCAGCTAACTTCGATTGATGACCTGGTCCCATGACCAATCGAGGGCTCTGGTTGCAAGTTTGACCAAACTATACTCGGTTGTTTTAGAGTGTGTATCCGCACCGAACATTTTCACCTGAATGCAGTCGTAGTTTTGCTCGCCGAGTCCTTTGGCCCATCCGTTAGAATCAGAACGATACAGAGAAGATTAGCGTGCCCCCTGTGTGCAAGGATGACACACGTAAATTGATAAATGGTCCACACTTTCAAGCATGGCTACCCCGGACCCGGACACCCATCACGTCCAGACACGGAACCGGACCTGTGTCCGGTCCAATCCGGACGTCCGGTAATCCGGACATCTTTCGGACACCGGACAAAACCGGACCCAGACGGTCCGGATTTAATTAAAAAAAAAAAAAAAAAAAAAAAAAACGTAATGCCAGTCGACGATACTTCGTACCGTTTGCTGATTGCAAAAGCGGGCTGCAAGTGTCAGCAACCCCGGGAGATTGAGATACTTAAATTAACTTACTCATACTTACCTCTTCTGAATTCCAAGCCTGAAAAAGGCCACAGCATGGCATCATCTGCCAGATAATCGGACCATCCTTTTACAAGCACACTGCCAACAGAATGAGACCAGGTCAGATCTCTATAAGTTCATAACTTCGTAAGTTTTATCAAAAGAGTTGAAAACAGTCGAAAGACTGAGCAGCAGAAAACAGTGCAATGAAAACGAAAGATGACAACAAAACGAAGAAAAAAAAAATGAAAGCATCCCTGCTACTTGGCATAAAATAAACAAATGTAACAGCCTCCATCCCTCCTCTTCCCACGTCGGATCCCTCCATGCATCCATCCCTCTTCCTCCTCGCCTCCACCCTCCTCCTCCTCCAACTTCTCCTCGCCTCCATCCCTCATCCTCCTCCCATGTCGAACCCCTGCTCGTCGCCATCCCACCTCCTCCTATCAAAGACCCAACGGTCATCTTCGCTGGAAGATGACAACAACAAAACAAAAGAAGTGAAAGCATCCTCGTACTCATGCAGAGACTGGCTGCTTTGTCGGCATTAAAATAAAATAAAATAAAAATGCCACGGCCTCCACCTCTCCTCCTCTTCCCACGTCGAACCCCTCCATGGATCCATATCCAACCCCTCCATCCATCCATCCCTCTTCCTCCTCGCCTCCACCCTCCTCCTCCTCCAACTTCTCCTCGCCTCCATCCCTCATCCTCCTCCCATGTCGAACCCCTGCTCGTCGCCATCCCACCTCCTCCTATCAAAGACCCAACGGTCATCTTCGCTGGAAGATGACAACAACAAAACAAAAGAAGTGAAAGCATCCTCGTACTCATGCAGAGACTGGCTGCTTTGTCGGCATTAAAATAAAATAAAATAAAAATGCCACGGCCTCCACCTCTCCTCCTCTTCCCACGTCGAACCCCTCCATGGATCCATATCCAACCCCTCCATCCATCCATCCCTCTTCCTCCTCGCCTCCACCCTCCTCCTCCTCCAACTTCTCCTCGCCTCCATCCCTCATCCTCCTCCCATGTCGAACCCCTGCTCGTCGCCATCCCACCTCCTCCTATCAAAGACCCAACGGTCATCTTCGCTGGAAGATGACAACAACAAAACAAAAGAAGTGAAAGCATCCTCGTACTCATGCAGAGACTGGCTGCTTTGTCGGCATTAAAATAAAATAAAATAAAAATGCCACGGCCTCCACCTCTCCTCCTCTTCCCACGTCGAACCCCTCCATGGATCCATATCCAACCCCTCCATCCATCCATCCCTCTTCCTCCTCGCCTCCACCCTCCTCCTCCTCCAACTTCTCCTCGCCTCCATCCCTCATCCTCCTCCCATGTCGAACCCCTGCTCGTCGCCATCCCACCTCCTCCTATCAAAGACCCAACGGTCATCTTCGCTGGAAGATGACAACAACAAAACAAAAGAAGTGAAAGCATCCTCGTACTCATGCAGAGACTGGCTGCTTTGTCGGCATTAAAATAAAATAAAATAAAAATGCCACGGCCTCCACCTCTCCTCCTCTTCCCACGTCGAACCCCTCCATGGATCCATATCCAACCCCTCCATCCATCCATCCCTCTTCCTCCTCGCCTCCACCCTCCTCCTCCTCCAACTTCTCCTCGCCTCCATCCCTCATCCTCCTCCCATGTCGAACCCCTGCTCGTCGCCATCCCACCTCCTCCTATCAAAGACCCAACGGTCATCTTCGCTGGAAGATGACAACAACAAAACAAAAGAAGTGAAAGCATCCTCGTACTCATGCAGAGACTGGCTGCTTTGTCGGCATTAAAATAAAATAAAATAAAAATGCCACGGCCTCCACCTCTCCTCCTCTTCCCACGTCGAACCCCTCCATGGATCCATATCCAACCCCTCCATCCATCCATCCCTCTTCCTCCTCGCCTCCACCCTCCTCCTCCTCCAACTTCTCCTCGCCTCCATCCCTCATCCTCCTCCCATGTCGAACCCCTGCTCGTCGCCATCCCACCTCCTCCTATCAAAGACCCAACGGTCATCTTCGCTGGAAGATGACAACAACAAAACAAAAGAAGTGAAAGCATCCTCGTACTCATGCAGAGACTGGCTGCTTTGTCGGCATTAAAATAAAATAAAATAAAAATGCCACGGCCTCCACCTCTCCTCCTCTTCCCACGTCGAACCCCTCCATGGATCCATATCCAACCCCTCCATCCATCCATCCCTCTTCCTCCTCGCCTCCACCCTCCTCCTCCTCCAACTTCTCCTCGCCTCCATCCCTCATCCTCCTCCCATGTCGAACCCCTGCTCGTCGCCATCCCACCTCCTCCTATCAAAGACCCAACGGTCATCTTCGCTGGAAGATGACAACAACAAAACAAAAGAAGTGAAAGCATCCTCGTACTCATGCAGAGACTGGCTGCTTTGTCGGCATTAAAATAAAATAAAATAAAAATGCCACGGCCTCCACCTCTCCTCCTCTTCCCACGTCGAACCCCTCCATGGATCCATATCCAACCCCTCCATCCATCCATCCCTCTTCCTCCTCGCCTCCACCCTCCTCCTCCTCCAACTTCTCCTCGCCTCCATCCCTCATCCTCCTCCCATGTCGAACCCCTGCTCGTCGCCATCCCACCTCCTCCTATCAAAGACCCAACGGTCATCTTCGCTGGAAGATGACAACAACAAAACAAAAGAAGTGAAAGCATCCTCGTACTCATGCAGAGACTGGCTGCTTTGTCGGCATTAAAATAAAATAAAATAAAAATGCCACGGCCTCCACCTCTCCTCCTCTTCCCACGTCGAACCCCTCCATGGATCCATATCCAACCCCTCCATCCATCCATCCCTCTTCCTCCTCGCCTCCACCCTCCTCCTCCTCCAACTTCTCCTCGCCTCCATCCCTCATCCTCCTCCCATGTCGAACCCCTGCTCGTCGCCATCCCACCTCCTCCTATCAAAGACCCAACGGTCATCTTCGCTGGAAGATGACAACAACAAAACAAAAGAAGTGAAAGCATCCTCGTACTCATGCAGAGACTGGCTGCTTTGTCGGCATTAAAATAAAATAAAATAAAAATGCCACGGCCTCCACCTCTCCTCCTCTTCCCACGTCGAACCCCTCCATGGATCCATATCCAACCCCTCCATCCATCCATCCCTCTTCCTCCTCCTCTAACTTTTTCTCGCCTCCATCCCTCATCTTCCTCCCACGTCGAACCTCTGCTTGCCTCCATCCCGCCTTTTCCTCCTAGCGAAGACCCAGCGGTCATCTATACTGGAGGATGACAACAAAAAAAACAAAAAACAAAACGACAGCATCCCTCTACCTCACATAAAGACTGACCGCTTTGTCGGCCTTTGAAAAAAAAAAAAAAAAAAAATGCGACGGCCTCCATTCCTCCTCTTCCCACGTCGAACCCCTCCATGGATACATCCATCCCCCTTCCTCCTCGCCTCCACCCTCCTCCTCCAACTTCTCCTCTCTTCCCTCCCTCCTCCTCCTCCCACGTTGAACCCCTGCTTGCCTCCATTCCACCTCTCC